TTGTCGGAGTGCACAACAGCAGCACAGAGTTGTGGAAATTTCCCTTCTGCACTACCAGTGTAAAATTTTCAAAATGGAAAAAAAACCCTGGCAAATCAGAGAAGAAACTGTGAGGATGCACTCTGATTTCAGAGTTAATGCGAAATGTCACTCCCCAATATCAGAGTAGTAAAAATCCAAAAGTAGGCCCTGGTACGGATCCAATCGAGTCCTGCAAGAAAATTCATGTCATAATTGATGACATGAAAAAAAGGCAAGTGTGATGATATATGTGATAGTGAAAAAACTCAAAACTCTAGGCTACCACTTCCCCAGCGCTACCATGGGGAAGACAGCAAGCTCAGTGTCTGAATGATTTAACGTGTGACATGGAGCAACGCAATCTGTAAGGTCCAAAAAAAGAACCAAACCTATCAAATCCAGTTCAAGAGACAGAGAAACTCAAGGAAGCTCGCCTGTGAACCTTTTGTGATTTGATAAAGCTGCTTTTTTTTTTTTTAAGAAACAGACGTACATTGCTAATGGAATGAAATTGTGGATCGAGAATGAGAGCAAACAAGAGCAGCAAGACGCATCGAACCAAACACAAGACGCCAGCAAATATAAGAATACAAAGCTGAAAATGAGATAATGGAACAACCCCCACGAATTACAGCTAAACGCCCATACGGAGCTCATAAACTCGTTACAAGAAAACCTGCACAAAATTAAAGTGGATGCAAGGTGGATAGTGGATAGTATATGGCATTGCGCATGGAAGAAGTGAATAACAATCAGCTAGGCGAGAATGAATGAGCATATGAAGTGAACACACAAAATGTGATTGTGAAAGGAAAGAGACGTCGAGAGAGGTAAAGAGAGAAGTTGGAAGCGAGGTAGAGAGAGAAGAGAGAGAGTGAGAGTGAGAGGAGAGAGAAGAGAGAGAGAGAGAGAAGAGAGAGGACGAGAGAGAGAGGAGAGAGAGAGAGAGAGAAAGAGGAAGAGGGAGAAAGGGAGGAGGGGCAGGAGAAGAGAGCGGACATTGCAAGAGAGAGAGAGAAGGAGAGAGAGAGAGAGAGAGAGAGAGAGAGAGAGAGAGAGAGAAGAGAGAGAGACAGAGAGAGAGAAGAGAGAGAGAGAGGAGAGGTAAAGGACGAGAGGGAGAGAGGTAGAGAGAAAGGGTAAAGAGAGAGAGAGAGAGGGCGAGAAAAGGAAAAGAGAGAGATATTGAAAAAAAACACGCGGAATCGAAGGAAAAGAGTACAAAGATTATGATAAAAAACAGAAAACGAGCAGAAAACGGAACGAGACAGAGATTGAATGGAACACGTAAGCGAGATAGGAAATGAACTGATAAATGGCACAAGGATTGAATGGAACGTACAAGGGAAAAAAAACGAAGAACTGAAAAGTAAGGAGGTGACGAGGATGGAAGAGAGAGAGAGAGAGAGAGAGAGAGAGAGAGAGAGAGAGAGAGAGAGAGAGAGAGAGAGAGAGAGAGGAGAGAGAGAGAGAGAGAGAGAGAGAGAGAGAGAGAGAGAAAGAGATAGATAGAGAGAGAGAGAGAGAGAGAGAGAGAGAGAGAGAGAGAGAGAGAGAGAGAGAGAGAGAGAGAGAGAGAGGAGAGAAGGGGAGAGAGAGATGATAGGAGAGGCTATGGGGGGAAGAAAAAGGGCTCGTGCTTACCGCGTTTCCAAGATGCGAATTTAGGATGAAAATAGGGGAAAAATGTAAGAGCTCGATGAAAAGGAAGGGAAGGAATCGAGCAGAGAAGAGGAAAAACGGGTGAGAGGAGGGGTTAGAATGAGTATCGTGCATCTATTCTGAAATCGACCACTGACATTTCCATAGCTAGAGAAATCTATCGCGCATTAGGAGAAATCAATCGTGAAGTTGGGAGAAAACTATCATGCACTAGCTGTTGGAAGAAAGTCGAGTCTGAGATTAGGATAGAGAGGAAGAGCAGAGAAGGTGCTCGAAGAGTACGGCTGAAATAGCTGCTCTCTGAACCCTCAAGCGGACCAGCTGCGTTGGAGCCACGTTTTTGCAGCTCTGAAGAAACGTTTTTTTCTTTCCGGTCAGAAATTGCCCCGTGAAACAATAATGGGTGTAATGATGTTTTTTAACGGCAATTACTGGTAGTGTAACTTCAGAATGCGAGTATGTAACGCGTAATGCATCCAATGGTGAGCTCGGGGGTTTTGCCAGTGCTTGACGAAAACAAAAATCAGTATCCTGTGGCGAGTGTGGCTAGGCGGGTGTCATTGCCACGCTAGATTTCACTTCCATCTGGCAGTTGCGCGTGACGAGCCTCGCCACTGGGGAAATAAAACAAAAATTGCCAGGTGGCCAGATTCGTTCGCCACAAGTCGTCTACAGTGGGAACAGCCACCACATAATCAAACAGAATCACAACAAATCCCAGCGTCAGGGCATTTGACGGAAAGGCGAAAAATAAAATCCAAACGCGCAAAAAACAGAGGATACATTACTAAAATTTGGCTACAGTGGAACAATAAGGAACCAAACGTTTCAGAATTTTGTACACCTGTTCTCCTATTTAGTCCTACGGTTTTTGCACGCGGCTTGAGCCTGTAAGCAGGAAATTGTGAAACACGGGCAAACGGGACTTTGAAGGGGAAATCCCACAGTAAGCAATGACACTTGGTTACAATATCTCGCTCATGCACTAGAATGGTTGCCTGCGCGACGTTCCAGCTCTGAAACTCGCAATTGTCGAAATACAACTTGGGAGTTCGTGTTAAAATTATATAAGTCATAATTTAATATAGGCTTGGTAGGTTGTTACTGAACCTTTCTGTAGAGGGTACAATCCCCTCCTTGTACTGCTCTCTCTTCCTAATCCCAACTCTTCTTTCTCGTCAACTTCTCTCCCCCGCTCCTAGATCTACTTTCCTCACGCCATTCCATGGCGTCCTTCCTTGCTTCCTAGCTAAGCTAGGTTCCTAAGTTTAGTTAGTGTCCTAAGCTTCTTTGATATGGTATCAGAGCAGGAGGTCCTCCCTGCTGGACCGCCTCCTCACGCTTCCGCCGCGTACTCCTCGCCCTCCTTCGCTCGCGCGGCCATGGCGGCCGCGTTTGCTGCAGTGGCGGCGTCGCGATGCCGCTGGCCGCGTCATGCCGCGGCCGACTCGACGCGCTGCCGTGGAGTCGGGGCCGTCGTTCTGCCGACGCGACGTCGACGACGTCCCGCTGCGGCATCGACGCCGCGCTGTGACGGCGTCGTAAGGCTGCCGTGGCGGCGTCGTCGGGCGACAGCAGATCGTGCAACGTCAGTGGCGCCGCCGGACCTGCCACCCGCTCTGCAGCCACCGGCATGATTTTGGACTACGCCCCGCCCCTGTCCCTTCCCCCCCCTCCTTCCCCTGCATCCCCCCCTTTTTTGCTGCAGCCGACGACTGCCTCATGAGGGCCCTCCCCACCGCCGAGGAGACTGGACATGCCGCCGAGAGGGCGGGGGCCGCTGCACCGGCCTCTGACGTTCAAGCCGCCGCCGCCGCCGCTGTTGCCGCGGGCCTGGTGCCACCGCACGCCGCAGCCGCCGCCGCTGTCGTCACTGTCGCCGCTGCCGCCATTGCCATCTCACGGGCCGTGGGAGCTGCCCTCTTCCGGGGTCGTTGCGGCTCCTGCTGGGAATGGGGGTGCTGGGCTAGGGGGTGTGGGTGTGGGTGTGGGTGTGGGTGTGGGTGTGGGTGTGGGTGTGTGCGTGGGCTTGACACTACCAAGCCTAGGGGGTGTGTTAAAATTATATAAGTCATAATTTAATATAGGCTTGGTAGGTTGTTACTGAACCTTTCTATAGATGGTACAATCCCCTCCTTGTACTGCTCTCGCTTCCTTATCCCAACTCTTCTTTCTCGTCAACTTCTCTCCCCCGCTCCTAGATCTACTTTCCTCACGCCATTCCATGGCGTCCTTCCTTGCTTCCTAGCTAAGCTAGGTTCCTAAGTTTAGTTAGTGTCCTAAGCTTCTTTGATAGTTCGTTATCATTCAAACTGCAACCAATCAGGTTCAGTGTCAACGCGAGTCATGCTGAGAACCTGATAGGTGAGATTGCAATTTGGACTGTTCAGGATGGGACCATAGAGGGGAAAAGTATCAAAATTTAGAATGAATGATTGTAATGTGAGAGTACACACAAATATATCTAAGTTTTGTATCCTCTAAGAGGTGACTCTATACAGTCTATACAAACATGACAAATACACATGTTTGACACACCCCCTAGACTGCATAGGGAATACCCTAAACAAGCAGCTCAGGGCGGCACTACTAGTCCAACCTCTGAGGCAAGGGTCTGAGCGACCGGTCAGAAGGAGTACAGACAAGGCAAGCACAAGAGCAGGGCGGCACTACTAGTCCAGCCACTGGGAGAGGACACAAGTCCAGTCTGAGTATACATATAAAGGACAGTACAAAGTCAAGGTCCTAGCAAGTGAGAGGCTACAGGAACTAGACCAAGCTGTACACAGTGCCGCTGATGATCTTTAGGCGCAAGCGCCTTCGTAAAGACATCAGCCGTGTTGGCACCTGAGGCCAAGTGTACTACGCGAGCCTGACGTCGCTGCTGTAGCTCACGCAGGAGGAAGTACCGCAGCTGAATGTGCTTCGCTCTGCCCTCGAGTCGAGGCTCCTGACACAGGAGGATCATGGCCCTGTTGTCAGCGAACAGGACCGGGGCAGAGCTAGGCCGCTCACCTAAGTCAGTGAGCAAGAAGGTCAGCCAGCGGAGCTCCTGTGCCGCCATGGCACCGACGTAGATCTCAACCTCACAGCTGGACTGTGCAACAGACGAGGAGCGAGTAGCTCTCCACGAGACGGCACCTGAGCCAAGGCTGAAGCAGTAGCCCTGGGTAGACCGGAGTGTCTCAGCGTCGTCTGCCCACGAAGCGTCTGTGTGCCCAGTAAGGACCGCTGGCCTGCGTCCTCCTAGCACTAACCCCATGCCCGATGTACTAGCAAGATAACGCAGAACCCTCTTAGCGGCAGACCAGTGCTGCGGTCGGTGTCTGCCTGTGGCCACAAAGCGAGCCAGGATGCTGAGAGGGTATGCGAGATCTGGGCGAGTGCAAGTCATCAGGTACATGAGGCAACCCACCAGCTCTGCGTAGGGGCCGCTGGGCTCTACCAACTCCTCAGGCACTGGAGCGGAGAGCCTGTGGTCTACAGGCAGAGGGGTGGGCTGTGCAGAGGAGAACTGAAGGCTGAACCTCTGAAGGACCTGGCGCACCAAGTGTGACTGAGTCAGGGTGATGGTGCGCGCAGCTCTGTCCCTGGAGATCTGCAAGCCAAGGTAACGGCGCAGTTCTCCAAGGTCAGTGCAGGTGTGTCTCTTCAGCAGCTCTGCCTTCACGGAGGCCAGCGCGTCCCTGTCTGCTGTGGCAAAGACCAGGTCGTCGACGTAAACGAAGATGTAGAACGGAGTCTGGCCAGCACGAACGAAGAGTGAAGGGTCTGCAGAAGACGGAAAGAACTGCAGGTCAGCAAGCGTAGTACGCAGAGTGTCGTGCCACTCACGGGGAGCCTGGCGCAGGCCGTAGACGGGGCGCCGCAGGAGCCACTGGGTCCCAGGAGGGAAGGGGGGTGACGTGGGAGACACCAGAGGGGGCGGGACGGGGAGGAGGAGGAGGAGGGGCAGGGACTACCGGGGAAGGGGTGACCAGGAACAGGGGGGGGTAACCGGGGACCTCGGTGGGGGAAGCGGCGGTAGTAGGAGACGGACTCGTCAAAGGTGACGTCACGAGAGTGAAAGAAGCGGTGAGACGGCGGGTGGTAAAAGTGCCAGTCGGACGCGTCAAGGGGAAAACCGAGGAAGACGCAGGGAAGGGTGCGGGCAGTGAGCTTGTCCGTGCCGGAGGCACGGACGTGAGCAAGGCAGCCCCAGACGTGGAACGCAGACGCGTCACCAGGAGACCCAGTCCAAAGACGGGTCGGCGAAACCTGCGGCTGCTGAGGGTGCGGCCACAGGTTAAGCTGGTGAGAAGCGTAGCGCACAGCGAACGGCCACAGAAAATGGGGTGCACCGACATGGACCATGGAGGTGCGAGCGACCTCCATGACCAAACCGATGCGTCGCTCAGCGACCCCATTCTGCTGTGGGGAGTCCGGTAGGGTGAACGTCTGGGTGATGCCCTCCGCACGACAAAAGCGACCAAGGACACCTGAGGCAAACTCGCCACCACGGTCTGAGTGAAGACGCAAGACAGGGAGACCGCGGTGGACACGCGCAGAGACAAGCCAGGGGATGAGGGCGCCAGGCACGTCGGCCTTGCGCTCCAGGGGAAAGACTGTGGTGTAACGAGTGAAGTCGTCGACAAGCACAAGGAAATAGCGCTCGCGACGCGGCCCAGGGACGGGGGCGGGGCCCCAGACGTCCAGGTGCAGGGTCTGCAGCGGCGCGGCGGTAGGGGGGAACGAGGAGGAGTGAGGGGCACGGCGAAGCCGACCCTCGACACAAGGCGTGCAAGGTGGAGCTGGGGAGGAGGGAAACGCGGGGAGTGAACCTGGGAGACCAAGGACAAGACCGTGCTGGGACATGTGACGCAGACGCGGGAGCGCAGGGTGACCTAGGCGGTGGTGCCACAGGAGGGTCGGGTGAGTGAGGGAGCGACAGGAGCAGGCAGCAGCAACCTGGGTAGACACAGCCACCTGAGGGGGCGCTCC